ATCCAGCGAATGTTGGCAATTTGATCTCTAGTTCCTCTGCCTCTTCGAAACCCAGCTTATAATCAAATAAAACCTCTACTAAATATATGTTGTTGATTCTTAGTGACCACCTAGATAGACCTTCTCCAGGATGATCTGTGCCCAACCTGGTCCTTTACGGCTTCCAAAAGTTGCACCCATCACCATTGTAATTGAATCCATCCAACTTGCTGCCGGTCATCCTCTTCTTCTCTTTCCTTCTACCTTTCCCAGCATTAGGGCCTTCTCTAGAGGGCTAGGTCTTTGCATAATGTGTCCAAAGTGTGATAATCTGATCCTGGTCATTTGTGCCTCAAGCAAGAACTCTGGGTTAATTTGTTTGATGATCCATTTGTTTGTTATCTTGGCTATTCATGAACCTATCCATTCCCAGGAGTCGTTTCCAACACCAGCATTCAAAAGCATCAATTCGCTTTCTATTCTGCTTCTTCAGAGTCCAGCTTTTGCTTCCTTGGAGTGTCCAAGGGTATACAGTTACCTATATGATTCTGATCATTGTAGATATAGACATATCTTGACATCTGAATATCTTTTCCAAGGCCTTCATTGCTATCTTATTTAGTGCTGGTCTGTGGTGCATTTCTTGAAATTACCTACAGTACAATATTTAAATAACCTGCAAGCTTTATGTGATAACTTTGTAGTTACATCAGTAATAGGGTTTATCCTGTCCTTGAATGATATCCAGCCTTATATAGTATTATTTAATGTGGAACTACATAAACTTTTGACAGGTTAGAACTATATTCCTTGTGGGAAAGTAGTAGTGAGTTATATTGTGACTATAGGCAGTTCCAAAACCAAATATTAATCAACTACTCTTTCTTTTTCTCTCTTTTCCTTTCACTCATTTATCATCTATACATGATAAATATCTCTTGTGCATCTATTGCCCTGTGCTCCACAAACATTCACTTCATCTCGGAGAGGAAGCCATTATAAAGATGGTTAGGAGGTGTAGGGAACATGCATGGGATTTGCAGCCTATGATTCATCTTGTGACTTAATTTTATTGTGAGAACTTATTCTGGATTTTTTTTTCAATTTCTACTAATGAAATTTAAATATCAAGGGCAATCTCTTCTATAGTTGAACAAAGCAAATGGGGAAGCTACAGTAATGTTTTGATATATTTTATAACATCTGTAGGAGAAGCATATGATGTTGGTGTAAACTTGTTTTCACTGTATTTTGGCTGTTTTCTTATATTTTTCTTATCTCATGACATTCTTCATTTTCTGCACTCTGCATATGAGAGTTTAGTGTGATTTGTATGTATGTATGTCTTTTGTAGGGGTTTATGTACTTGGGAAATATGGTCAGAAAAAAATGAAAGAAATCCAAGAAAAAGAAGCAGCAGAATATATAGCGCAAGCAAGACGGCAGTATCATTTTGAAAGTAATCAGAGGACTTGCAATATGACAGGTAAGGCAGTTGCTATTTTGTTTTTCAGAGACCAAGGTCTGAAGCTCACTGTCTGTCAAATTCCCATTTTTTTCAGCACTCATGTTAACATCTAACTCCCATTTCTTTAATGAAACAATTGCTGTAGATAGAGCAATGCCCAGAACAATGTTTGTTCATTCAAGCATCTTACCAAAACACAGCTAGCACCGACCTTAAATACAAACATAGTTGTAAGATATATTTTCCATTTCTAAATTGCTAACGGGCTATAAATCATAATAC